GGCCCAGCTGCAGCACTGCCTGGCCCCTCTGGAATGTACAAAGAATCCCAGGATGGTTTGGGTTGGAAGGGACCTTAAAACTCATCCAGTCCCACTCCCTGCCATGGGCAGGAACACCTCCCACCAGCCCAGGCTGCTCCATCCACCTGGCTTTGAACACTGCCAGGGATGAGATATTGAGTATCCTCAAGGATGCTGCTGTGTATTAGGGCTGGCAGAGCTCTGTGGGGCATTTTGGCTTTCCTTTTCCTCCGGGGACATGTTCTGGGTTACCTGGTGAGATGGTGCAGGGAGATCAGCCCTGTGCTGGCTTTGCGGCACCAGTTTGGGACAGATTTGCAGCCTTTTCCACGGTACCTGCTCCTCCAACCCCTTGGCTGAGGCTTTGCAGCTCAGCCGAGGGTGCCCTGGAAGGAGTTAACTCGTGCTTGAAAATTCCGAAGTCCCTGAGCACGAAGAGAGCAAGCGACAAACCCGAGCCCAGCAGTTTTTTAAAGGGCAAACAAAATGTTCCTTTTTTTACTGCGAGGCACTTGGTGCAAAGTGCAGGCAGAGCAGGGCAGCGTGGCTTTAGGGGAAGGCTCCCAAAAGCACATTTTATTTAAATTTAATAGGACGGTTACTGGAAGTTTATCTAAACTGCAGTTAAATATTAACAGCATCTCTAGCAGGGATTAATGGGGTCTCCTGCGTTGTTTTTAAACACGGTGAGGAGGGTGCTGGGAGTCCCTGCCTGAGAGAGATTGAGGGCTGAGCGCCCATGAGGATGCTGCTTGCATTCCAAAATCTGCCCTAGAAACAGCCCTGAACAGGCGATTTCTCCAGCTCCGAGCGGGAATGCCTTTGGGGCGAGAAGGGCTCAAAACGGCTCCGGCCAAGTAAGGCTCCCAATCATTGTTCTTTAATTGGGGCCACCGCTAACGAGGGGATAAATGAGGCAATGAGCGGAGCTGAAGCCCGCGTCCTTTGTGGCTTCGGTGAATGGCTGTAGACACGGAGGGCTCAGCAGTTATTCAGGAAAAGCTCCCCCGAACTCGTGTGTCATTCACCTGACTAATGCCAAGGAAATTAAGCACTTTTTGTGCAACTCGGAGCTTATTGGAGAATAATGTGGTATGCGATAGCACGGCTGGCGTTATAAAATCGTGTTTTCATTTGGAAGGAACGAGGGTGTCTCGAGCATAAATTATGTTTCTGATCATATTTGGCCATTTCAGATTAAAAATAAATTTCCACTTTGGGGCTATAGATTGCCATCTATCTACTCCCTGAAAAGGGAAAAAAGGAATTAAAAGGAAAATCTGGCTGTACGAATTGCCTTGCTATGACCTACTTATTGAAAGTAGTTTTTTGTTCTCCAGGAATGAAATCCATTGGTGTGGGGAGGTGTAGGATTGTATGAATATAGGTTTGCAGACAGGTCTGCAGGATGGGAGGATCTTTAACTTGGACTTGCAAGCAGCTACAATAAATTAGAAGATAGAGTCGTGCTGGATACTTGGGATGAAGCAGGAGAAAACGCAGCAATGTTGTTTCCCTTGATAGAGGAACTTGAACTTCGAATTTGCATCTGATTATCGCCCTTTGGGACCACTCAAATCTGCAGATTAGCTGTTTAAGGCTTGGTTCTGCATGAAAAGCCCGAGACTGGGGCAGTGTTTGCTGGGAGGGTCCTTGCAGAAAGAGTCACGTCCCTTGCAGCAATCCAAATGCCATCATTCTTCCCTGTGGGACATTTTTGGGACTGATTTACTCCCTGCTCTGCCTCTGAACCTCCTCCTCCCCAGCTATCGACAGAGATGCTCCTTTGGGAAGCAAACCCACAGGGCCTTGCTCCTTCTGACCCCTTCTCTATCCAGGCTTTCAGCATCCTCCCGTCCGCGGGGAAAATCCTTCTCCTGTCTCCATCCTTGCCGTGCATCACTTCCAGCCCCTGTCCACCCTGTCCAGCCCCTGCTGCTGCTGCTGCCCTGTTTGTGGTCTCTGCCAGGAGAGGGGGGCCTTTAGCCTTGCTGGAAAGGAGAGCGGTGAGATGGATGCGGAGATAAAGACGCACCTCGAGTGTGCTGTGCTTGGCTCGTTCTGTTTGTCTCCTGCCTGTTGCTCGAAATGGGGGGGGGGGGGGGGGGGGGAAAAAATTTTTCCCTCA